CCCGACCAATATTACACATAGTATGGTAATAATTCTAGGCAAGAAAAAGAACAAAAAGCAATTACAGTCCCATCCCGTAAATACACTTTGAAGTATACGGGATGTGGGCAATGGTGTCGATAACGATGACATATGGGACGAGAGCTACTACCATTGGAAACAACTTCCACCTTGTAGTTTTCTTTGAGAATATAGATCCGATTAACGTAATTAAATGTGTGACCAGGCTTCATATAAGCAGAATCTCCGAATAAACACTTATGGTGGATTGTGATGCAACGTTCTTTGTTTGTGTAGAACCATTGCGCTGGATATAAGTTTTTCTCACATACTTCACACCAGTATTTGTCATCCACGCCACTTTCTCCGTAGCAAAGGGAGAGAGGATGCTCATCGAATTTGTAGTACAACTCATTTGGAATTGTGGAGCATTTGTAGCAGATAGCAAACTTGCATATCGTACATTGCAGACCGTACCCAGATATTTCCATGTAGCAACCTTGGCAGGGATTATTACCATAGTTTCTATTGGTTCGAGAGAGGAATAGGAGATGTTCTGCATGACTTTTATGGGTGAAACAATCTGGAACTAAAATGCATTTCACATCTACCTGAAATGGAAGGCCGAAATCTGTTGTACATCCATCTTTTTGCATATGTACTTCCATCAACTTGACTTTCGATGACAAACACTGCAGTCGAAGTTCTTGTTATCAAGAGGATACGGGTCCATGAAAAGAGAGTGTTTATGCAACGCATGGTCCATTTTTCGAGGAAGATTGGCACATTTCTCGTGGAGAAAGTAATCACATTCAATACAACTGTAGAATTCATCAGAGATGATAGAACGCATACACGCCCAACATTGCTTTCCTGAGTCTCTTGTACCATCGTATTTCTCGAGCTTTAGATGATGATGATCATGAGAAAAATGTTTGATCAAACCAGGACCTACTTTCTTGTATGGCGCAATAATTTCCTCATTTCATCGGGGACCCATTCGAGTTCTCTCCCATCCCATACTTCACTAGCCGTTGCACATTTTGAATGGGCTACATAAGAATAAGAGCAATCCTCATGACTGCAAGAATATTGACCATACTTGATGTCAACATTCGTGTAGCAAAGCCGGCAGGTTGAAACTTTGGTTGGAAGGTAAAGAATGTGAGAGAGTCGATGAAGGTGACGCGTGATCTTTATGACGCGGGGTAAATCAATGCAACTCTGATGTACCACGTGGTAACATGCGTAACCTGGCTCCAACACATTGATCAACCCACACGCATTACAAGGATATGAAAGTGGGCGAGGGAACAAGGAGAGTGAATGGTGATGGCTTTTTGGATTTTGGATTGTAAGAGGTGGAATTTTTAAGGCACAATCGAAATCCAAAGAAAAGTTACATATTAGACAACGATAGAAACATTCATCGAGATCATTGCCACACCAAGTGCATTTATCAAACATGATACTGGAACTGGATATTGGGACAAAAGTTTTCTGGCATGTGCCTTCTAAGAAAGTCATGGCGTCCACCGACATTAGTGTCAACAATCATCTCGGTTTCTTTCTGTAGAAAGGTGAAAGTGAGAGGGTGATAAGGGTGAATCATCTTACTTGGAAACGTATGACAAGTATCGTGGAACTCCACTTGGCAGGTGGGACAGTAGAAATGGAAGGGCGGCGGATCATAATGGAGCCTCGGCCCTCTTTTTCCGCAAGAGAAGCAGTCTTGCTTAGTCTCATAATCGTCTGCACGGGAGACCTTGTGAGGTTGAGCTGGATCAGAGACAATGCATCTCGGCTCTTCTTCATTACGCCATTTTTCATCACTGCTTTGGTATTCACTAAATTCATCATAACTCCTTTGGTTTTGACCAATTTCTTCACCACTCCTTTGGTTTTGATCATTTTCTTCATCACTTCTTTGGTTTTCACCAGTTTCTTCATCACTCCTTTGGTTTTCACCCATTTCCTTACTAATTTGGTTTTTGATCTTTTGATGTGTTTCCAATCTTGTGGAGCTAACATATATTATTTGAAAAAATTCCTGAAAAATACCCAAACTTAATTTCATTTGCTGAAAAAATACCCTAACTTTTTTGGCTACCCGATAAATACACCAACTATTTAAGATTGTTCTTTATATACTCGAACTTTTAAAATGGGTTGGTTTTACTACCTCGACATTAATGGTGTCAATCCAACAAACGGAAGTGATGATAGTCCTTTTTCGGGTTTATATAAGATTAAAACCTAGGGTATCACTAATCAATGTAGAATAGTGAGGTTCGTTCAAAGGGACCAGCAATACACTCTAATCTTTTGAGATACGATTTCAGCTAAGCGATCAAGTGGTTTTAAGTTGTCACGATTAGAAAGCAAATATGTAAATACGGTGTAAGCAATGATAATGAAAGAGTTAGGTCAAGGGATATCTCAGGGATTATGACATCAAAACCAAACAATTATTCAGGTTATCAAGTTATGAACCAATCTAGAACTCAACCATAGATTCAAGAAGACCCACTGTCGTGGCATCAACTACTTCAACAAACAATCTAACACGCTAAACTGTCGTTTGAGGTTACAAAGAATGAAGAGCATTAANCNATTNGGGTNGATTTGTTCACNAGTTGCTTTAACTTCAACTTTNGTTGGCTAAAGACAACTC